GGATGAATGTAAAGCTAACATTCTCCTATGTAAACTATCACATAATTCACAATAAAACATTTTAAATAGAGAGAGAGAGTGAAGCCAGAGAATTTCAATGATTTCTATGAAGAGTTTCAAGTGATCCTATGAAGACATTCTTTCAGAATGAAGAGTCTAGAATCTAACGTTGCCAAAGAACAAATACCCCCCTCTTTTGGTGAACTGCATCTATCCCAGTTGCACTTTGTTTATACCAGTACTACTCATATTTCAAAGGAGTACTGGTGTGGCACTGTGGATTAATGCGCCAGACTGCAAAGCCATTTGAACTGCAATGTCATAGGTTCAAGCTCACCAGCTGCTCCTTGGAAACCCTGTACAGGGTTGCTATGGGTCGGAACTGACTCAACGGCACTTAACAACAACAACAACTCATATTTCATCTTATATTGCATTAGTTGGTTAAGTACTACACAGAGAGGTACTTAATTCAAAGGCAATTAAATTTTCTTGAGATAATTCTAGTGTCTTAAACACAAGAATTTAGCATGTAAAAGAATTCACTATCAGGTTACTGAAAAGAAGAATGTGTAAGTGGTTAAAGAAAGAATGAAAAAAATTAGTTATTCATTTGTATATCTTCTCAAAAAGACTTTTGCACATAGGCAAAGTGTCTCTTTTGAACAACATACTGTATTTACTTTACATTGTAAAGTGGAGTTGATCTTCTCTCAGCTAACCTCTGCTGAAAGTTTCAATGTCTTGGTGCTGTGGGTTAATCCGCTGTACTGTAAAGTTGGCTTGATCTGCAAGGTCAGTGGTTCAAACTCACCAGCCACTCCTCGGAAACCTGACACAGAGTCACAACTGACTCGACAACTCTTAACAACAGCAAGAGTTGAAGACAAAACCGTTCCTCACTTTGTTGTTGTTATTTTTTGTTGGATGTCATTGTGTTAGTGCTGACTCATAGCAACCCTTTGCACAACAGAATGAAACACTGCCCCATCCTTTGCCACCTCATAATCATTGCTATGTTTGAACCCATTGCTGATGACACTGTGCCAGTCCATCTCATTGGGGTCTTACTGTTTTTCTCCAATCCTCATTTTTCCAAATA